ATCTGCCATCACTGCATGCCATTTCACAAATCCGTGTACATCGTGCAACAACCCAAGGCCACTTTAAAGTCTTCTGGTACATCTGGGTCATCATCCGTCTTCTACTCACATCCCTCATGGGAACAGCCATTATTGCCCTTCCCTTCTGTGCTTTTCAGTACTACGGGTATAGGACATTTTGCACACCATCCATGTCCCAGGACCGGATCCCCCCAGCTCTTCTTTCACTGGCTGAATTGAAGGGCTACAGGGTGCCAGATGAAAACGGCCCCCCACCCCTGTGGTGCATGAGACCTCTACCCCTACTTTATTCTCATATCCAGGATGTATACTGGGATGTGGGCTTCCTTCGCTACTTTGAGCTGAAGCAGATACCAAACTTTATTCTGGCTCTGCCTATGGCTTCCCTTGGCATAATTGCAGCATATGCTTATGTTTTAGCTAATCCAGAGCTTTGTTTGAGACTAGGACTTTGGCAGACAAGTGCAAATAAAGGGTTGGACAAACCCACACCAGGATTCTTCAACCCCCGAGTGTTTGTGTACATTGTACACTCTACAGTGCTACTTGTCTTTGGAACTTTGTGCATGCATGTGCAGGTGAGTGAATTGTATGCCCACCTTTGTGTGTGCAACTAATTCCCTATTTTTAATTATTTATTTATTTTTTCATTTCTAGGTTTTAACAAGATTCATGGCCTCATCATCTCCTGTGCCGTTCTGGATAAGTGCTCATCTACTACTCCTTAATGAGCCTCTTCTTCACCGAAGGAAGACTTCAAATCCCAACGTACAGCTACACACACATTCCAGAAATGGCTGCAAACACACACCTCCAAACCCCATCATTGCCCTGCTGCTGCATTTTAAATCCTGTTCACCCACCACACAGAGTATCCTTGGTTATTTCCTATCGTACTGGCTAGTTGGGCTTGCACTTCACTGCAACTTCTTGCCATGGACATGACTTGACACAAGTTGAATTTGCTATGTTTTTATGTCAGACCAGGTACTTTGTGTATAGTCATATATTTTTATGTAAAACTGCAAAATACATATTAATGCAACCAATTAAATAAATACATAGAACAAACGTCACAGGCATTATTCACAAAGCAGAAATTAATACTATTTGCAAAATATTTGCCTGTAGATAACACCTGCATACAGAATTGTTCTTACATCTGGGTCCATCCACCTATTTGAAAGGCGATCATCTTAGTGACAATAAAAAAAAAAATCTGCTGATAAAGCAGTAAATTGAGGAAGATCTGAAGTAGATTGGAGAACCAACTTCAGTCAGATTCTTCAAAAGTTATTACACATTATTGCTCAAGTGAACCTTGAGAGAAGATTTTTCACTTGGTTTGCAGGCCATCCACTTCTTGCATCATCCAGACTTACAAATCATTTTTTAGCAATATCAATCATGTTTTGCTGCCTTTACAAAAGACACAAATGTAACAATGAATGATTTAAGAAAGTCAAAACTTACACTACGGTTGATTGTATCCTAGGGAGGGATTGTTTATTATTATAAGTATGAGAATAAAATGCTATAGAATAAACCATTAAATGATCAAGATGTCATAATATCAGTACACCTTATGGATATTAACCATATGAATTAGATAATAACGTAAATAGATTCACACTTTGGTATTGATTATTATTAATAGTAATATAATGATTTTATTTCATTTTTGATTAAACAACTATATTTGGATTGTATACAGTTAAATTACTTGTGCTGAGTGTTTTTAGTCCCTAGGTGATAGAAGTGGAATTTTGTTTGAAAGGTAACGGAATTTTAACACAATATTGACATTTTTATGAGATAGCACACATTTTTCATATAGTTTCTTGGTGAATAAATATACATTGCCTTATGTTTTCCTGGGATTGTGCCCTCTCCTACGTGAAGCGTATGAGTATTATTTAATTTTTTTTATACAAATGTAATTGTCAAACATTTGCACGTTTTGGACAATTATCTTAACTGGTGAAGAACTTTTTGTTGTAAATATCAGATTGAAATAATGGTTGATCTTGGGGAAATATAATATCCTGTATAAAACGAGAAATATTTTTCTCCTTTTGTAAATGCACAGCATGTTTGGAAGAATTGCTCCAAATTTCGGATGTAAATTGAAAATAAAAATTCTAACCCTATATATGTTTCTGTTCAATTGTTGCTTATTACTGCTTATATCAGGTGGTATTTTCTTTTTAGATAATTTCTGTCTAGTTTCCATAAAATTTGCTAATATAAACAATCTAATTTAGCTCACATCTTCCTATTATTTGGAAACTTAAAATAAATAATAATTTGAGCCATTCACTTAAAAAACACGTGCCATGCATACTAGATACTTAAAAAATCGACATTTGTAGACATTAAAATTACGTTTGCATATGCAGCTCAAATGTAAAAAACCCACCGTTTAACAAAAGCACTATTTAATAATTATGTTGTGCTCTCGCCAAATACAATATATAGCTAAAGCTGCATCAGATTTGATAGCATTTGGTTTAACGTGTATTAAAAAATAGAAGAAGAATTTATATTTTCACTATACAATCACAGAATAAACCAGTAGGACCGTTTGAAGACTACCGTGACCATAGAACAAGTTCTCTTTTCGACTGGGTACAGAATTGATCATACCACCTCTGTTTAGGTCATATCCGGTTTATTTTCCGCTGCACGGCTGGCAGAAAAGGAAGCTACAAGAAGCTTAGGACTGTAGCTCGTTACGTCCGTGTGTGCACTGACCCATTGGTTACAAACTACGACTTAATTTAACACAATAAGCATTTGTATTCACGAAAAACTTCAATTAAACTACCAACGATGGTAGAAAAGCTCGCCTTTTTTCTGGAATTGATAGAGCTAGTAGAACCCGGACACGGAGAGGACAGGATGCCTTTGTAGCCGTAGAAGATATGTCCGATGGTCATCTGAGTGTTGACCGAACTGCAGTAAATGTACCATGACTCAATATTGAGTGCACCGTGACTCTCGATAACGCGCCGAGAGAAGGGTGTATGTTTTGTTTTTGTGTGCCTTTTGCTACCTCCGAATTGCGTGAACGATGAGGAACTGCGAATACCAGCAGATCGACCCGCGGACGCTGACCGTGACACCGTCAACGGCGCAGAACCAAACCGAGAAGAAATCGCAGCCGGTACGGAGGAAATGGGAAGTTTTCCCTGGAAAAAATCGGTTCTTTTGCGATGGACGCATCATGTTGGCCAGACAGAGCGGTGTCCTTCCGCTGACACTGGGCCTTATTGTTGTCACTTGTGGCCTTTTCTTTGCATTCGAGTAAGTATACACGTTTGTATTGGGCTGCCGCTGTGTTTAGCATCATTAGCAGTTGTTGACAACGATTCTTCTCGAAATCGATTCCTCTGATGATTTTTGTCTCATTATTTGGTCTACATCATACTATGAATGGTTATAAAGTTGTGGATTGGTGTATTTTATCAATCACGACACCATTCTGTGTTTAATCTGACAACCTTTCAAATGTATCTTGTATATGTGGAAGTGGAAACGAGATGCATTCCGTTTATTATCTTAATTTTAAGTGTATAATTAATTAAACGAGTAACTGCTGAAGCTCCACACAAAATGTACCTTTGAGTTGCAGTTGTTTAATTCAAAGTGACCAAAGGCTTTCAGCTCAGAGTTTAAGTCATCGAAGAAGGGTTTGAACCCATAGTTTTGTGGTTTGACTCTAAGTCTTTGTTTAAAATGTTTGTTAAATCAGTCACAAAAGAGTAGTTAGGTTAGTCCAGATTTAGTTTTAGATTTTTTAAGCCCAAGTCTGAATGTAAGTCACAAAAGAAATGTTCAAGACGAGTTCAAGTTTAGTTCTGTGTTGAAGTCAGAGCCACAGAAGGAGTTGAGTCAAATTTCAAACCGAAACGATTTAAAGTCTTTTCACACCAATGTCTGAGACCCAGTAATAAGGTACGTGATGTGCAAATAGTTAAGTCTAAAGGTTTTCAAGTTAGTCATTATTGACTAATGTAAATAAAGGTACAGGTGGGCTTTGGCTGTTTTTTAATGTCAGAGACTATTGAAGAAAAGTACTAGTCAAGTCCAAGTTAGTCCAAGGTTCTGAGATGAAACGGTAATAATCAGTGCTACAGAATAGGCCAAGACCTTAGCTCAACATTACTGATTATACTGTACATACAGTATCTTATAGTATAGTTACTGGTAACACATTAGATATACAACTGACAACTACAACAACATTTAGTTTTATTAGGGGTTAATTCACAAAGGTACACATGTTATTTCATGCAGAAATAAATGCAAAATACAAAAATGTTTCTTGAAAAAACATGTACCATGGTTATAAAAGTGCTAACACGGCTGTAGCAGGAAAACTCACATTTGTCTTCCTGGCCAATTTGTATATGTTTCTAAAAGTGTATTGAGATATAAGTGACCGCTTTTTCGTCGCAGTTGCCCCTTCCTGGTGCACCATCTGACCGTCTTCATACCTGTGATTGCTGCGGTTCTATTTGTGTTTGTTACCATCTCACTGCTGTGGACCAGCTTTACAGACCCAGGCATCTTACCTAGGGCCACTCCAGACGAAGCAGCAGACATAGAGAAGCAGATAGGTAAGAGGCCACCCAGGCATGATTGTGCGGAACAGATGGGGGTAAAGGAGCTTTGCCACACGATTGTTTGCATCTGAAGTGCTGACCAACATCTAATCAGCTTACCTTAACTGAACATGTCAAACAGCGTGAGTGCTAAATTAAAGTCTGTGTATGTCCTCGTTGTTTGTTTTCCCCTTTTCTGACCTAAATCTTTATAAACCTTTGTCCTCATGTTTGTTTATTTATAGATACCTCAGGATCCTCTACATATCGCCCCCCTCCACGCACCAAGGAGATCCTCATCAACCAGCAGGTGGTGAAGCTCAAATACTGCTTCACTTGTAAAATGTTCCGCCCTCCTCGAACCTCTCACTGCAGCCTGTGTGACAACTGTGTGGGTATGCATCTGCTGAGAAGTTACAAGTTATGTTTCCACTCTTCAATTATACTTAAAATAGTTGTTTTTATTTTCAAGACGTTGGCAGGTGGAACACACTGTACTTGTCACTGCGAGAGTTTTGTTGCGTTTGTCTTATGCACCGCTGTGTTCAGCTGCAAAAATTATACATTTTACAAATTAACATGTACATTTATGCATTTAGCAGACACTTTTATCCAAAGCGACAGTATGGTTTTGGCAATGCTTTAGCAATTTTCCATTTGAATTGAATGTATTTTGCCACTTGTTTTACTTTTAATAAATGTTTAGCTTTTCTTTCTATCCACCGGTACATTACCCTAAAATTTCAAACTTTTTCCAAACTTTAGACTGTTCTCTCATCTGCATGTTGTTTTCTTCCCTCAGAGCGATTCGACCACCATTGCCCCTGGGTGGGGAACTGTGTGGGCAAACGCAATTATCGCTTTTTCTACAGCTTCATCATCTCCCTGTCATTTCTAACATCTTTCATATTTGGCTGTGTCATCACACACATCACTCTGCGTAAGTATTCCATAATGTAAATGTGTTCATATGTTATCAGGAACCTTTTTTTTATTACATTTTATGACACAAGTTTTCTTTTCTTCCCAGGTTCTCAAGCGGGTAAAAGCCTTGTTCAGTCTATTCAGGAAAGCCCTGCCAGATATCCTTTACATATTGTATTTCACATAATCATCCTGCCCGTGAGGTGGATGATGTATCTCTGCACTGCCCTGTGTTGTGCCAAGGTTCCACTGTCGACATGGTCTTTTTCATTCCCACCTTGTGTAAGGCTGTGTCTAATAGGATCATGGAGTTAGTGTCCAGCAAAGACGTGCTTTTAAGCAGTTGGCTGCTGACTGGTTGGTTTGCTGCCTCATGCTCTTGTGAGATGATGTCAGACACTAGACAAGTATAGACTTTATGACTGCAGCTATTCACAGAGTGTGGGATCATTTCCTCATTGTACACATGATTTGCATGACACTGTTTTTGTGTTTAGTTTTTTACAGGGTTTTAAAGAACGCATGACTGAGAAACAAACAGCATCATTTAACTTCCCTTTTTTGCACTGTTTTTGTCTTTGCTATTTTGAGATATATTCAAAGTACTTTTGGTAACCGACTGAAATGATGCAAATTAAAGAGAATTTCGAAATATCAAAATATAAACAGGAAGTAGTTGTTGTGCAATGGAGAAACATTATCTTACTGGTAGATTTTAATGACTGCTTCTGCTTTATGTCACTTTGTCATGTTATTTGATAAAATTACGTGGTCAGTCTCCTGTGAAATTAGAAAAGCACCTGTGGTTTTTACGACTTTGTATTGCAATCCCAGAATGCAACAGATTAAATACAATGTGTGATTGCCTTGTTATAGATAATTATTATGATCTTCTTCATCTATGTTTACTTTGTGTTTAATGAGCAGTTTTGTATTGAAATGTTGTTATTCCTTGACCCTTTCCTGTTCACTGTGGTGGAGTTAGTGATTTGTTTCTTCTCCATCTGGTCCATACTGGGCCTCTCAGGCTTCCATACATACTTAGTAGCCTCCAATCTTACAACAAATGAAGATGTAAGTTGTAGAGTTTACTTGTTGATGGCTAAAGCACCAAATCCTAATCCCACACCTGACGGCTCACTCTCTCTTTTCACGGTTCAGATTAAGGGCTCCTGGTCAGGGAAACGAGGAGCAGAGGACTCTGGGAACCCATACAGTTACAACAACATCATAACGAACTGCTGTGCGACATTATGTGGCCCCATGCCCCCCAGGTGAGGGACGACATCGGTCTCCTTCTCTTTTATTTCCTCTGTGCATTCGTCTGTCTTAACTCCCCTTAAATGGCAGCTCTGTGTGTGTGAGGACTGTGATCGTTGTGGTAATGACAGAACCTAATCCTCTGTTGTTTTTCTCAGTCTCATTGACAGACGAGGTTTTGTACCTCCTGATGAGGCCGTTCCTGCTGCTTCTGCCTCAGAGATAGAGCTGCCACTCTTCACAGCTAAGAATGACGCACACAGGGTAGGATTGAACCAGCATGTGGTCCCACCCAAGTCGTGACTCTCCCTTAGCCCCTGTGTTGTTGTTGTTGTTATTATTGTTGTTGTTGTATCTAGCCTGACCCCTGTGTGCCTTCTCTAGAAATCTGAGTCTCAACCTTCTGACCCCCAGGCTTTTGGATTCAATCACAGATTTGTGGCTATCAGTGTGTTGTTTAAAATGTTTCTATATTGTATGTTTTAAGGAACACCAACAGGGCTTATCTTAGAATTTCTTATAACGTCCAGATGTCTGATGTAGTTCTCCGATTGGAGTGTTGCCACAAGAGGCATTAGAACTGCATTAGGGCTGCTGAAGATGTAATGGATGAGTCTGCTAACAATGCTGGCGATCAATGTGCTTACAATGCTGAAGTCACACTGATGTTATCCGGCTGTTTTGGAACTAAAAGCGTTGGAAGGCAGTTGCTAGACTCAGAAACGTATATTAGAAACTGCAGTAACCATACAGCGAAGCCCCTGAGATGAACTGAGCGTGCTCCACTTTTTTGGGGGAGAACTAATAAATCTTATATGAAGGTCTGTGGGAAAGTAAGGCTACATTTATCTTATTTACAGTATCGAGAACAATTCCTAAAAAAACATTATGGCTAAGTTTGCTAGATTCAGTTCTCCTTCAATAAAACATTATTCCAATTTGTAAACGTTAATCTTATTTGGTGGAAAATGGGCAATAAGTGCAGTAGGGTTGCCCCACATAATCAACCCCCACTAAGTTTATTGGTTGATTTTGGCTGAACATTTTTGTTGTTTTCTGCCATTTCTGACCATTTCTGACCATTAATCTAGTATTTGAGATTTGAGCTTTTATTTTTATTAAATCAATTCAAGAAAACATTTAAACAAATATTCAACAAAGGAACAAATTTCCACTTATTTTTAGATATGTGGAAACCTCCTTTAACATTTTGTGTCCTTGTTTTGTTGCACTTTTTTTTTTACACTTGTAGGAGTTGAATATGTTGCTGTATCTACCTCCTTGTTATTGTAATTATTGGTAATGGGTTACACACACACACACACATACACAACTACTGCATTTTTTATTTGGTTGTGCAAATGTATTTGTATTCAATTATTCTGCACTTTATCACAGTTCTTTTGTTAGATTCCTTTAAACGATTTTAATACGGTCAGAGGTATTCAAAGGCCAGTGTTCCGTTGCAGTTATAAAAGTGCTGTTTATTTACTTAAGACATAAGACTATATATAAGAAATGGATGCAGTGAAAGTATAGCAGAGGTTGTGGAAGAAACTCTATATAAATAAACATTTGTAGGAAAATGTACCTTCAAAAAGAAAAGACTAGATTTGAAGCATACTCAGATGTAATAAATCAAGTAGGAAAGAACCCTCATTTTCCCACAGACTATTATTTATACAGACCCAAACCCAGTGGAGCATTTCCAGTTTCTCTCTGTGGCTTCATTTTCTGACCACAATTTGCTGCCATATGGCTTTGTCCGTTTCCTATATAAAGTCTATGGATGTAAAATATCACTTTTTAAAATCTTTTACTCTAAAATTAATTATATTTTCCTTTGAAAATGTTTACCATTGTCCTGTAATCGGTTTGTTTACTTTCACTCAAGCCCAACTTTAGTTTGTGGTCATTTATTGCAAGACATACATGGACATTTCAAAGTAAAAAGTTTTTTTTGTTAAACTGCCCTGTCTTTTATTTGTTAAGTGTTTTATTATGTACTTCTGTCATTTATTTACCTACAGTATGAGACATATTTAATGTGTTAATTAATAAACAGTATTTTTGTATTTTGGAATATTTGGTCATAACTTGTTGTGTGACACCTAAATACAGCCTTTAAGAAGTTTTTTTTTTATTATTATAATGTGTATACTTCAGTGAGCTGTTATTGTTCATCATTTGCTCACATTTGTGCTCAGTGTGTAATTGAATGGCAGGATGATGTGATTTGATACTGTACTGTATTCATTCCACCCTGCCAGGAGGAGAGCTGTCAGGGGTTTGCTTTGTCCTGCACAGCCTGAAGGGCTCTGCTGCATGTAGACAGTTGATGGTAAGAGTAGGGTGCTACATCAAACCAACCACAGTGTCTTGTCACCTGCCATTCACTCTGTCATCACTCAGCTTTACAGTCGTTCTCATTTTCTTCTACACTTAGTTGTCAGCCAGGTTTGCAGTGTTGTTAAAGTAAAAAGTGTTACCTTTAACTTGTGTTACCTTTAACTTGCATGCCTGACTGCCATTTGTCACCTGGTCACTGACATATTTACTCACACTGCACTGTCTGGAGCTCTTGTTTTAATCTTCATGGTTTTTCTCGCCTCTCACTTTTTGCAAGAACATTGTGTATCTGTACTGTCTTTGTTTTTATCTTAATGAGTCTAATATACATCTAATAGACAGCGCTCACTCACACACAGGGATCCTCCTCCTCATCTTCTTCTTCATTGCTGAATCGACTCCACTGAATCCCTGTCTCATTAATGAGATCATTGCATTCATTGTGCTTGTGAACTTTCAAACTTACTCCTTTATTCTTCATGCATAACTCTCTGTCTGGTGTTTTCTGTTGCAGCTCAACTTTAAAGGATAAAACTGCCTGTTTTTGACAAATGAAGCTGTTGTTCAATGTAACTCTCAGAGGGTTTAACGTAGACCAAAACACAACCTGACCGTGATTGTTAACGGATTGTTTATGTGCTCAAAAGAACATTATCTGATATAAAGTATATAGTTTAAGTGGCAACTCCATATGTGTGTAGCACAATCTATATAATTTTGCGACTGATTTCGAAAGTTGTTCATGTTTTGTAACACTTGAAATGATATTTTGAGCACATTAGCTAAAAGACACTTTCTAACAGTGACCGCTTATTGATTGTTATTTACATTTTTGCTGAATCAGAAATGGAGAACTTGTTCTATTTTCAATCAAACTTTTTTTTTCATGCTGACAGCACTGGGTAACCTTGAACAACTGCACCATGTGTTGAAAACGGCCAGGTTACATCTTTAAAAGCAACTTTTAATGAAAGCTTTTTCACCATGCCCTGCCTTTTCTGTTTTCCCACCAAAAATAGTGTACTCAGAGCACAAAGGATGTGCTGGAGAGGATGGTCCACTCCTCTGATATTCCTGGCTTGTGTCCACATGGTGCACCAAAGACCACCCCTCTGGGCCTGGAAGTTCCCAGTTTGCCAGCACCTTCCATGGAGCCATCACCGTCTGCTCTCTGCTCACAACAGCATGCTCACCAGCCCGCGCCCCTGCCTTGCACCCAGTTTAGCCGAAGCAGAGAGAAGGACTCAGTGCAGTCCATCAACCCGGCATTTCGCTTGGCTTTGCCGTCACCGTCGCTGAGCCGTACCAGCTTGATTCTGGGCGATACACCCGACATTGGCTTCGTTCTGAGACCTTGATCTTGCTCTCAAATACAGTTAGAGAACAGTCAGTCATAGTGGACTTAGTTTCACCACATCATATCACTGGCATTGAATTCTGGCAACATTCTTTTAGCCATTTTATGTTTCTGAGATGTCATTCTAATGAACGGTCTGCTGTACCTGGAGTTTTATGGACGGTGTCCAACAAAGTTGGTTCTTCAGGATGGAGTTTGATCTTAGTAACACTTTGAAGCACAATATAGAGTTATTTTTTTAAACACCTTTTTACCCAGACGCCCAACACACATCTCCACACGCTCCAAAGAACCTGAAGCCATTGTCCAACAATTTTGAGTTCCCGTGGTCATATTTCGCAAACAGGTCTGGGGAAACTTGGATGCAAGGCAAACAAAGAAATCAGACATTACAAGTTGTGTTCATGTCTGAGCTCCTTCCACTTGCATCAACATTAGCGCAACATCACAGTCTAGATCCACGCGTGGCTCTTTGTACATATTGTAGATTGTTTTATTTTTACACAGTGTCTCATAAATCATGCAAGTTAAACAATTTTCTTATTGTGCAGCTTTTCACTTCAAGACACAGACGAGGAGCTATCCTCCTGATCACATTCAGTTTGTGTGTAATGTGTCACATTTTGAAATGTTATTAAACATTTACAAATGTCTCTTGTGAAAGACAAGTATTTAAATCAGGCTTGGAATCATTGCTTGGAATAGTGTTTTTTAAAAGTCATACAGTTGTCTGTTATTTATGTGATTCACAAAGTGGAGTGGAAGTAAGCTTGAGAGTTCAGTTGTCCTTTTGCCTCACGGCAGTGTGTCACCCGTCACAGCAGAGAATTGTTGCAGGAAAGTTGAGGAGGCCTGTTCGTGTGTGAAGTAACGTTTTCGTTTTAGCTGCTGTGACCTTTCACTACTCTTACAGCATGAAACCTAACCCCCAACCTTCAAGGCGGAGTACAGTTTCTTGTGAGTTAAGAGTTGCCACAAGGGGGCGGTATGTGACTAGGAATTGCACCCTCCTCGGAGGAAAGTAGTAATGCAATACAAGGGCCCTGTGGTGTTTTGTTTATATGTATTTATTTCTTTTTTTTGTAATTGAAAATTGTACATAGGTTGTGAACTGGTGAAATCCACATGTCCATAGCCAGTGGGTCGTTTGTGTCTGCTCTGAGACCCAAAGACCTTTTGTTAGAGACCGTTACAAGCAAAGCTTGTATGTACGAACAAGTTTGTAGGATGTGACAGTGAAACTGTAACATTTGGTCAATAAAAAAACCCTTTTGCTGACATCTGTTTTTGCCCCCAATATTATGTTGAAAATACTCTTTTGCCATATGAAGGATTTCAAAAGCAAAAGCCTGTTTTCATTCAGCAGAAATAACTATGAAGTTAAACAGAGACACGTCTGACTGTAATGTGTTACAGACAGTAGGGAAGACTGAGATTACAGGCCTGATGCTCTGTGACAGCTCCATCATGGAAACAATGTAGAGCTGCATGTTGACCACATGTGTTCTGAGGTGGAGTGTCAGGAGATGGGTTGTGAGTTGTGAGCTGCAAGGATTTGTAATATCCCTTTATAAGACTGTCTCGAGTCACCATCAGGTCATGATCTGTGCTGTAATCAGAAGCTCGCAGAGTTAAATGTCTAAAAATATGAATGTGACAGCCTCCACCTCTCTTATCTATAGAGACATTTTCAACACTGTAATAGCCAAAAACAAACTATAGCATCATCATCATTTATCTAATTAATGGTTAATCATAATGTTGTCATTTGTTTATAACCACAAAGATCCGTGGGTAAATAACTATCTAGTAACCTAGCGCAGGTTAGCTCCCAGGCCTATCCTGCTGTGAAGAAAGTCATAAAGAGCATTTCTTATCGAGTGAATTCTGGCAGGTCACCAAACCAAACTGTATGACTTGACAAAAAAAGGACTAAAATGTATATGATTCATTGTTACACCAGCACAGGCAACTCTTTAAACTGCTAACAGCACCCCCTATCGAGAGCTGTGAGACAAGAGCTAGCAAAAGAAAATAAGAATACGAACGTTTACTGTTCAATTCCTCATTGAGACAGGATTACAAAACAAAAATAAAACCGCATTGTTAGTTTAACGTTTCCCTTCAAGGCTCCATCGCTCACCTGCAGGGGGTGCTATAAATGTATTTTCACTTGTTGATCGTGTTAGCATGTGTGCTGTTTTTGTATGTAATGTATAGTCCAAGTCACTTGCTTAATGCTTTACAGGCATACTTCTGTCTTAAAAATGTATTTCATGACATTTGTTACATTTAACAGGAAACAAGTTATGCTAAGCTAATGTAGCTTAAATGTAGATCGAAAAGGAAGAAAATGCTTCACTCTTTCTCCAGGTTCTAATAGTATTGCTGCATTTGCTAAGTTACTATACTGCCACATTGTGGCTATTTTTACTAGTGGGAAATATTACCAAAGATTAGACAGAGGCTAGCTCTCCTTCTGATGAATTCAGCACCATATCCATTCTGGGTTCTATTAAAAAACCTGGGGACATTCATTTTGTTTAATTCTGTTGTTTATTTATTTAATTCTTTTTCTTCAAAATACCTTTTAGCACACAACATAGAGATGACCAGGCGTCTGAGTTAAAAAGGAACAGATCACAGCCTTTCTCTCTCATCACCTGCGTTGCATCTTCACAACAGATACTTGGTTGCCCAGAGGAGAAGTCTGACGATGGGTTTTATTTACACTGCTGCTGCTGAAGGTTACCATCAGAGTGGAGTGGTTTATTTCTCAGCAGTGCTGGGATGTGGATCATTTGAGGCCTTGGTCACTGCAGGTGATGGGTGCTGGGGTGTATCATGGTTTTTAGCTTACAGACAGAGACGGCCACCCAGTCAGTGGAGAATGGGTGGTTCTCAAAGCAGCAGGATGTATTTTAGTCAAACCTGGTGACTTTTTTTTGTTATTTTACAAAAAATAAGGAATTTGCCAAAGCGAATTAAAAAGACTAAGCGTTGCTGGTTCTAATCCGCTCCTCTTAGACCATGAAGTATATGAAGTCTCTGTAGACAAAACGCTATTGTCTACGGTGTCTGTTTTATTTGGCCAAGTCCTTCTTCTTGTACTGAAACACATGATCAACTCGCAGTGACCGTACAGCAGAGAAAGCAGAGCTCTTTCACTTGCAACTAATAGATTCCAGACCTTCAAATAAGCAACCCACTACCAGTTTTCCTTTGGCTGTCTTCTACTTCTGTGATTCATCATGCTTGTTCCTCTTCACAGAGCCACTTTAGGCTCTAATGTCATGTGTGCTGCCGTGTGTCAGGCTCTCACAAGTCTTTGCCTCATTGCCCAGACTGTGGAGCAGAAGTGAAGTACCTTTGTGAACAACAACAGGTGACTCACGGTCAGGGCTGCGCTCAGCATCGGTGCTGCGCTGATCCGGGGAGCTAAAAGTGTTGTCTCTGTGTGCTGGGCAGTGAAGCTGGTTATAATTAACCTTGCACTGAGCAGAACTGACCAGCTGCCAGCGGGCTGCAGCTGCTAGCAGGCATAGTTTGTTGCCTCTGCCAGTGAAACATGAAACGACAGGATCCTGTGGGTAACTCGCACATGGTGGTTACATTTTTTAGAATCTAAAATGCTGAACTGAGCCTTTGCCAAACTGTTTTGCTGTAAGAGGATACGAGTTCCTGTAACTTTCTCACAAACTGGTTTTAAGTAAATAATATATTGCACATTTTACATGATTTGTGGAACCAAGAATGGCACCAAAATTTAAAAAAAAAGTCCTTATTGACTTGCCATAGAAACGTGGTGTGTGTCTGTGTGTGTGTGGAGTTTGGTCAGCACTTACTGACCACCACCCTCCGGGTGCAAATAGAGCACGGACACCTCCAGTTCAAACATTTCAGCACAGGATTGATGACGAATCTTTAGAGCAGAAAAGACATGAAAAATGAACTGCACACAATCAAACAATGACTGGAGGTAAAATGAGGTAGTAGGTCAATACTCGAAGACAGTAACTTCATCAAAGTAATAAGAAACTTCAGCTAAATTTACCAGGTCTTCTCAGGAAAACTATTTCGACTCAAATGGATATTTAACAACGAGGAGCTCCTAACACACACTGTACATTTGAGAAAAATGCTGTTGGTCCAACTTTGAATCAATCAAGAAACATGTATTAATTGACCCTTAATACAAGCCCATGTGTTAACACAGTAATGTATTCGTCGTTGAATTGTGATTCTCATTTATCCTCCTACTTTATGGCCTGATGAGTTATTTACAGTAGTTTCTGTATTTAAAAATACTTCTGTGTATTATTTAGACTATAGTATTTTCATGGTAGTTCAGTTGGGTACATGCTGATTATATATTGTGTAAAAAGCGTGTTTGCAACATCTGTGTAACTAAAGCCCTTGTTTTCATATTTTCCCAGGGCTAAAACTCCTGAACTGTACCAACTAACTTTATTTACTCACCGTGAGACACAGGCTTTAAAGCATGTGTGCCAGGATTCCGGAGCTGTATTGTTATTACTGTCAACACGTACATGAACGGGAGCAACCTTTTTTTTTAACTGAGGTCCAGGTAAAAGCCGTGTCATATAAACCAATAAACTGTGCATACTAGTGCTTATCAGCTGGTAAAACATTCTATAAAGTTTCTCCCTGATGTCAGGGGTCTTCTCCAGCTTTACGGACTGTGTTTCCACCTGTGCTTTCCAAACCTGTGTGTGTAACATGGGTGGACTTTACAACCAGCATGTTTGGACATGGTGACTGGTGCTGAAGCCAAAAGCCTTTTAGATACACACAGCTCAGGAGAGATCCTATCAGTGGCGTTGTATTTACTGCGTACTAGATTTGTTGGATAATGCAGGACTACAGCTTGGACTGTCCCCCTGTTTACTATGCACATGCTGTTGTTACGTTGTTATGTTTGGCGTAACCCTTTCATGCGCTGCTTTGATTATTTAGTCTTTTCCTATAATGTTACCGTGTCAATGTTACTGTGTCACTTTAGCAAAGATTTGCTAAAGTGCAACATTAAGTGATTGAATATTTTCTAGTTTTGTAGACTAGATAAGAAAGAGAGTACATTTTCCACGCCTGCTGTAGTGGGAAACCGTCGGCTGTGCGCTGAAGTGGAATCAGCTCCCCATGGAAACCTGAATTTGTGCCACGAGTTTGATTAGTGTACCAGGGCACCGGTGGAGTCAGACCTTATCAGGGCAGCTGATATGACCTCAATCAATCAATCAAACTCGAAGAATGCAGTAGTCCCCGAGAGATCGCTTTCATACAACCTGAAGGTTACCATGGTGACAGACAACACCTCACTGTTCTCTGGCCACACGGTTCTGCACCCTTTTGGAAGTTTGCTGTGTCAGATGAAGGAGAGAGGAACACATCAGTTCAAGATTACATCGATCAATAAGCAGATCCGTGGTTGCACAGTGGAAGAGTGTGTCAGAGAACACACACGCAATTTAATTGTATTATAATATGCAGTTGACAGAAACAGTATAATATGACACGGTTACTGACCCTCAAATATTAAAGTACATTTTCCTGTTGTTAAATGCACAATGAGGCCATGGGGGTGCAGTGGTAGGATTCTCAGCCATTAGTCAATAGTACTGGGATTGATTCCATCTAGTCCCCAATCCTTGGTTGGGTTGTAAAAACTCACTATGCAGTTTATTGCAAGCCAAAAGAGATGATTATTTACCATGGAATGCAAAAATAACAAGTGACATTTATTAATGACAAGTTTGATTTTTTACATTATATACACAGTATGGTGGGGGTTGGGGGGGAGATTGTGCAAACCAGAGGCCACTGAACTTCATGCCTCTGGTCACGAGGTTTATGTGGCATGTACCATAAAGCGAGAGGGAGGACAGAGGTGGCTGAAGGTGAGGGACAGGGAGATAATACATGCTGAGTCACTCAGAGGACATGACCAGACATGCTGCATTCTTAGAGAGTTTGACTTACAGCACAGGCTGCGACTCCTTTTATGAGGAAAGAATGGGTTAAATGCTCCAGAGTGCTTATCATGATGACTGATGCTCCCTACAGAACTTATGTGAAGGCAGCAAAGATTCAGATGCAGGCAAAGGGGCTGTTCATTGACCTGGGGACAATGTCTGAGACATTGTATCCTCAGCCTAGCTCACCCTCCCACTGCCCCGCCCCCATTTTCATCCTCCAATGCCTGCTTGGTGCTTTCATTTTTCTGCATCTCATCGCCAGATTAACAGTCTTTATAAACT